TGATTTTCATCATCTTTGATTCATGTTAATGTGGGATTTGTGAATTATACCTGAGACTAGGTTAAGTCCTGTAATTATTTGCTGGCATTGTACAGTTGAGTGCTAGATTAAGCTTTCACATCGATACACATTTTTGATTGGGATTTGAGAGCTAACAGTGTACATTTTTGATTCAGAGTAGAGTCAATATAATAAAGGGAATCGTTAAGCATGTTGAGAAGCCTTGAGACTCGTTCATTCTCACCTAATACCGTTTGTGCTGTGGGGTGGGCTAATTGAAATACAAATTAGCACCGTGATCTCAACTAAACCGCAACTATGGTAGGTGAAAATGCAGTACCAGCTGTCCCAGCTCTAAGTCAATTAAAGCGGTCTATGGGAGCCTATAAGGGGCGCCTGAGCAAAGCATGTGAGGAGTGTCGTATGGTCAGGCAAGATCAGGACGTAGACTGGGAGGAACTAGAGAGTTGCCTGAAACCTTTGGAGCAAAGACTGGGGGCCCTTTTTGAGAGATCATTTATCCTTTATGAGACAGAGGCCTATATACAGGTGAGTCTGAATATACAGTCGAAGTAGCACGGACAGACTATGACGAACGAAGGGCAGAGTGTAAAGCAGAGATGAGACTCTGCAGGCAGTTAATAAAGACTTTGAAGGCCGGTACAGCAGGGGTAGCAAATGTTTCAAGGAACACGAACAACAGCACGCCTGTTAATGTGTTGCCCAGATTGCCCCAGTTGAATTTACCAACGTTTGACGGAACCTTAACAGAGTACATTGCTTTCTGGGATCAGTTTAGAGCCCAGATAGATGACAAAAAATGATTTGTCAGATGCCGTCAAGTTGTCAGTACTTGCGGTCGCAGCTCAAGGGTAAAGCCTTAGATCTGGTCCGGCACTACCCGATTACTGACACTAATTACCAACATGCCAAAGACCAATTAGAAGACATGTTTGGCAACACCGAGGAGATAAAGGTAGCTATACTTTATCGGTTGTTGGATCTAGAGGCTTGCCGACATGACCGTCAAAGTCTAGAGAAGTTCCGTATTGAGATTATGAGCTTGACCAATAGTTTCAGAGATTTGCATGATGAGAATGATTCAAAATGGGTCCTTAGCCAGGTGATTCAGAGGAAACTGGCTAGCACGACAGTGCATGAGTTACACTTAAAATATCGGACGAATAGGTTCACGATAAAACAAATTGTTGAGGGGTTGGGAGATCTCGTTTCTCATTTGAGTATAGGTGTGAGAGAAGAGTCACCACCATCGCCACATAAAAACCCAGAAAGTTGCTCAAAGAGCTCGAGAGATCAGCCTAAAGCTCGTACGACTAACGTTGGAGTGTTCTATGGTAAAGAGGTGTCTAAGGTAAGAACCTCTAAGCAGAGCCCTTTGAGGCACTCATGCCAGAAAATGCGTGTTCTGCGAAGGCGAACACTCTAGCACGAATTGCTCGGAGTATATAACACTGAGCAGTAGGCAACAGAGACTAAGGGAGTTGAGACTCTGCTTCAAGTGTTGTGGGGAACACTATGCGAGAGACTGTGGCACCCAGCTCAGTGAGTGTCGAGTCTGTTGCAAAGGTAAGCACCATACTGCACTATGTCCCAATAATTTAAGGGAACCCCAAGCTAGTAGGGATATCTCTCAGGTAGAGATAGAAAGTGAGTCCGAGCCTGAAATGGTAGCCAGCGTGATTAGTGGGAGTGAAGTCTCTAATCCGAGTGAGAATCACGGAGGTGCTGCCCTACCTACAGTCATGGCAAAGGTTGTGAATGGGCACAGGTCCGAAGCAACCGATTATTCTTTGACCCAGGAGCACAAGTATCCTTGATAAACAAAGAAGTTGGTGGCTAAATTAAATTTGAAGGCCACGAAGAAAGTGAGTATGATGTTGGGAGGGGCTGTAAGTCAGGTCCCACCCAAATCTTATGATGTGGTGGATGTCACAGTCAAATTAGGTGGACATCGCAGAGATATTACAGCCTTGGTGGTAGAGACATTACCCAGGGCAATTACAGCGAGAGGTCTTGCTGCAGCAGCTAAGCGATTGAAAGACCTTGACGTGAAGCTAGCAGACCAGGGAATTACCACTGACACAGTCAGAAATGTAGGTATCCTGGTGGGAGCCAATCATATAGATGACTTCCTGTCTACACGACGGACGTTTAAGGAAGGAATTGGGTTATACAGATCCCCAGTAGGATACATCATAGGCGGCAGGATTCCACCTGAATTCCCTGCCACGCCAGATAGAGGAGAAACTGTCCACATGACCGCTGGGGGAGTAGTGATAATGAATACCAGTATACACTATGAACTGCCAGGGAAGCTGAACCAGGCAGGGAGTGACGAACACTCGGCCACCTTGGGAAAACACCTTTGCAGGGTATGTAAAGAGGGAGATAGATTGCCTTTAAATCCAGGGAACCTCGTAACAGTGGGAGGAAAAGCTACCAGGGCATGTGGGCCACTGGGTGGGAAAGTACGGAGCCACTCAATCAAGGCTAGACATACGAACTACGTTAAAGTTAAAGCAAAGGGTGCTAAGACCACCGGAACCAACAAGTTTACACCCCCAGAGGTCCACACAGGGGAAACTGGACGGTTGAAGTTAGACCGGAGTCTGCTCGACGAGAGTGGCCGGATGGCACTCGTGTCCAGGGTCCGCCGTGGGGGCTCGTGGAGGGTGAATTTGATTTAGACTTAACGCCTACCTTTGCCGGCGGGAGGATGTGGAAATTTATTTGGTCCAAATAGTTCCACAGCTCAGATCTAGCATGGCCGTCGGGTCATCCGAGCCGGACGGCCCTTAAACCCTCCCAAACAAGCAAGGCATTCTCTGGTTGGCGGTTGTTGGTAAGCTTATTTAATTTATAGATTTACTCTTCAGGGAAGGAGTAGGTAGTTTTACTGGTAGTACACCCCCGGAACTCTCTCCAGGTAAACTCCAGGTAAACACTAATATTAGGTTTACTAAGGCATCTGTAGATAATGATAGAGTAGACCTAAGACCTTAACATAGGTAGTAATAGGCCGATAATGTAGGCAAACACTAGGATAAGTTAGCTAGGGAGAACTGGCAGCCCTAGCTTGAATGGCGGGGCGCAGGTCACAAAGACAGAATAGCGTCCTTCTTACGATAGACACCGACTGGACAAGACGTGCCGTGAACAGCAGGCGGCGCCCCCACGTGTCTTCACATCTGAGACCTGGGGAAATCTGGTAGAGGCACCTCGATGTACCGTAGATGATCTCCTCCATCAGCCCATTTCAGTTAAGACGAGATATTCACCTTTTCCCGTAGGTTCTGGCCAGAGTCTTAGGAGATTGTGGGTTGAGTTACTGAGGGCCCGGTGTGCTACAGAGAGAGCATGCCCAGTAAGTACCAGTGTCTCAGAGCCGTCTGAAGCTAGTGTCTGAGTCTGCATTTGTTATACTAGGGGATACATACCCTCTTGGATATAGGAATTTCTGAGGTGCAGGCAGGACACTAATAACGATTGAATATTGCAGGAATTAATGCTCCCGGTTGCATGTGGTTTCCAAGGGGAAGTCCAAAGGGGCTAAAGCTAGGCTTAGGAAGTTGAAGATCAGGATATATGCTGCAACACCAAGTAAGTTAGTCCTTTATACGTGCATGCAGGCGAGGTTTCTTGCAATACCAATCATTTGTGAAAATCTGTTCTATAAGCCACTTGTGAGGCTGAGGTACCCACCTCAGAGCTCGGTGTCAACAGAGTTTGCCAGGGTAGGCGACTCACTTGGAGGCAGTCCACACAAATTTTCACAGAGGGGACTTGAGCTAGAGTTCGTCACGGCCACGCTAGCTGGAGATTCGTCTGTAAAAACTTGCATTTGTGGTCACAGTGGTGCCTGTGCTAACCTTCCTATGGTGTAGGAATATACGTAGTTGGACGAATCTTATTGTGGCTAGCTGGTCTAGTGGCTAACGCGACGGTCTGGAGTTTTGAGACTCTTTGACCGCGGGTTCAATCCCGGCCGGGGTATGGTTCACAAGACTATCATTCCCATTAGCCCCCTTGGGGCGGAGATGGCAGACCCGAGAGGCTCAGCTTCTCCCTACGAGATCCGTGATGGCGGGGATTGAGGCTAGGCCGGGGACATTTGGTCCCAAAGATGAGGGGGTACGATCGACACCATGCCCAGCCCTTCTAGGGCAGGGTTGTTGCCTGAGCCCGAGCTTGTAGCTCACAAGATGAGGGGGTACTTGTGCCTCCTCCCACGGGAGACTTAGGTCTCAGACACTCCCTAGACAGGGAGCCAGTGTCGGGCCACCACTTGGAAAAGGCCCGGGCCGGGAGATTACCGGCGAATCTTTAACAACAACCTTTTTCGTTAGTGTGACTTTGTAAATGGTCCAAGTAGGGCCGAAACGTCGTCGTAAGCTCCTCTCTTATATGTGCGGATTATTTGTGTATATATACTCGTTTTCTTAGTTTTCTCTGTATTAGGACTGATGAAGTCACTCCTGGCGAGACGTTTCCTTTAATAAATGTCCTGAACTGTACATATGTATCTTTCTCTGCTCCTTCCTTATTGAGTGGGTGTGACCTGGACCTGTCTAGCATGGGCCAGTAGGCTTGTTGCAGTGCTGCTTATTTCTTATTTTTCTTAAAAAACTGAGTTCAATTCGGAAAGGAATTCTCTACTTACAACACCGAAATTAACTTGCGAAAAAAAATCTTGTACTATAACCTAGCAATACTAGAGTGGGAGGCCTGAATATATTCATGCATGATGCAGGAAAACAGAAGAGTGGTTTGTCAACTGCTGTTTTATAATATTAATGTCTATAGTTAGACTCCAAAATATCTTTGGAGAGAAGTAATAGTGAGGAAGATAGCTAGTTTGATGAAGAAGGATTGGCATAAGAAATAAGAATGACATGCAACCAACAGAAGCCAAAAACTCACTATATTACCAACATAAGTTCATGTATTACAAACATTCAAACAATAAATTAACAACGAACCAAGAATGTCTTGCTGAGGAACCCAGTTGGTAATCATTACGTTGTCAGGGACGTTCTTCAACTCTCCCTCGTATTTCCAGACGACTCGCTGAGGCAGCCTCCTGAAGGCCTGGAGGAAGACGTCACGGTACTGGACTGGCATGTAAGAACCACGAGAAAATGAACCCAAATTGAAGTAGATAACACCACTGGATCCCGCTCCCGTGATCCAAGACTCCAATTCCTGTTAAGCAGTAATATATTAGAGAACAAAAAGGCACGTTACCGTGACTGGAACAATACATAAATAACCCGCACATAGAAGAGTGAAGCTTATGACATTTCGGTCCAACTTGGACCATCAGTGTGACTTACAATTGGTCCAAGTCGGACCATAGTGTTACGTTAGGGGTGTATATGCAGACATTTACCATAGACTTTACGTTAACAAGAAGCTATGTTAAGCAAGTGGAAATTTCAATGCAGTAAAACTGTCCTCAGAATGGTGGCATTCATAACTGAAAGACTCTCTACAGCACAATCTAAAGACCTTGAAACATAAACAGATGATGCTATCATAAATTAGAAGATAATGATAGGATAAATGGCGCATAAATTTATCATTGTTTATAGGTTTCCTGTACACTTTGTATTTTAGGAAGGTGTCAACCCTGGAAGGATCTGCACTGAACAAGAGAATCCAAAAAAATTATCTCCTCTCAGGTGAATCGGAAGGACAGTCATCTTCAAGGACTAAATCACGAGGAAGAGCAAGGTCACGTGCAAGAATCAGGTTAGGTAATCAGTCCCTGATTACCTCAAACTCATCTTTCACCGTCCACTGTACTGAAGAAGACACTGACCGGTGAAGTGTTTCCAGAATGGAAATCCCGGAATGTTGCACAGAAAAACATCTACGACTATATATTTCTCTATCTTCAGAGAAATACATAAAAAAAACACTTAGGTGCTTTTGTTCTGTTATTTATTATGTGAGTTGTTATTCTCACATTTGTATTCATTTGGTTTATGGTGAGTTCTTCCCATTTTGAATATTATATAATGAGAACCGAATTCCAATTACTATTTTACTTAAGGGTTTTGACATACTCAAAAATTAGGGAATTATTCTATGCATATCTAAGGGAATTTGTTTTATTAAGTTAATATAGTTATTAAATTTCTTCCAGTTCTGCTGTATATGACTTCGAGGTTAGTTTCTGGAACCAGTGATAATGCGATTACTTATTGTTAAACAAATAGGATGCGATTATCATATAAATAGGGTACGATTATGTTACATGTAGGTAATACTGCAGAGTCTGATGCTAAAATTGTCTCTCTTACTGTAACTGCTAGGACACTGCAGTAATTCCAATACACAAGGTCACAAGTGCTAGGCGTTATCGTGTTGGTGTAGGAGGGATACACAACTGTCCTGGATCAGCCAATCTTAGGTAGTCAGGACAATCGCGTTGGTGTAGGAGGGATACACAACTGTCCTGGATCAGTCAGTCTTAGATAGTCAGGACAATCGTGTTGGTGTAGGAGGGATACACAACTGTCCTGGATCAGTCAGTCTTAGATAGTCAGGACAATCGAGTTGGTGTAGGAGGGATACACAACTGTCCTGGATCAGCCAATCTTAGGTAGTCAGGACAATCGTGTTGGTGCAGGAGGGATACACAATTGTCCTGGATCAGCCAATCTTAGGTAGTCAGGACAACTGTCTTAGTCAGGACAACTGCCTTAGATAGTCAGGACAACAGTCTTAGTCAGGACAACTGTCTTAGAGAGTCAGGACAACTGTCTTAGGTAGTCAGGACAACTGTCTTAAATAGTCAGGACAACTGTCTTAGGTAGTCAGGACAACTGTCTTAGGTGGTCAGGACAACTGTCTTAGTCAGGACAACTGTCTTATATAGTCAGGACAACTGTCTTATACAGTCAGGACAACTGTCTTAGATAGTCAGGACAACTGTCTTAGTCAGGACAGCTGTCTTAGATAGTCAGGACAACTGTCTTAGTCAGGACAACTGTCTTATATAGTCAGGACAACTGTCTTAGTCAGGACAACTGTCTTAGTCAGGACAACTGTCTTAGGTAGTCAGGACAACTGTCTTAGTCAGGACAACCGTCTTATATAGTCAGGAAAACTGTCTTAGATAGTCAGGACAACTGTCTTAGGTAGTCAGGACAACTGTCTTAGTCAGGACAACTGTCTTAGGTAGTCAGGACAACTGTCTTATACAGTCAGGACAACTGTCTTAGGTAGTCAGGACAACTGTCTTAGTCAGGACAACTGTCTTATATAGTCAGGACAACTGTCTTATACAGTCAGGACAACTGTCTTAGGTAGTCAGGACAACTGTCTTAGTCAGGACAACCGTCTTATATAGTCAGGAAAACTGTCTTAGATAGTCATGACAACTGTCTTAGGTAGTCAGGACAACTGTCTTAGTCAGGACAACTGTCTTAGATAGTCAGGACAACTGTCATAGTCAGGACAACTGTCTTAGGTAGTCAGGACAACTGTCTTAATCAGGACAACTGTCTTATATAGTCAAGACAACTGTCTTAGTCAGGATAACTGTCTTAGATAGTCAGGACAACTGTCTTAGGTAGTCAGAACAACTCTCTTAGGTAGTCAGGACACCTGTCTTAGATAGTCAGGACAACTGTCTTAGATAGTCAGGAAAACTGTCTTAGGTAGTCAGGACAACTGTCTTAGATAGTCAGGACAATTGTCTTAGTCAGGACAACTGTCTTAGATAGTCAGGACAACTGTCTTATAGTCAGGACAACTGTCTTAGGTAGTCAGGACAACTGTCTTATAGTCAGGACAACTGTCTTAGGTAGTCATGACAACTCTCTCAGGTAGTCAGGACACCTGTCTTAGATAGTCAGGACAACTGTCTTAGTCAGGACAACTGTCTTAGATAGTCAGGACAACTGTCTTATAGTCAGGACAACTGTCTTATAGTCAGGACAACTGTCTTAGGTAGTCAGGACAACTGTCTTGGGTAGTCAGGACAACTGTCTTATAGTCAGGACAACTGTCTTAGATAGTCAGGACAACTGTCTTATAGTCAGGACAACTCTCTTAGGTAGTCAGGACACCTGTCTTAGATAGTCAGGACAACTGCCTTATAGTCAGGACAACTGTCTTAGGTAGTCAGGACAACTGTCTTGGGTAGTCAGGACAATTGTCTTAGTCAGGACAACTGTCTTAGATAGTCAGGACAACTGTCTTATAGTCAGGACAACTGTCTTAGGTAGTCAGGACAACTGTCTTATAGTCAGGACAACTGTCTTAGGTAGTCATGACAACTCTCTCAGGTAGTCAGGACACCTGTCTTAGATAGTCAGGACAACTGTCTTAGTCAGGACAACTGTCTTAGATAGTCAGGACAACTGTCTTATAGTCAGGACAACTGTCTTAGGTAGTCAGGACAACTGTCTTGGGTAGTCAGGACAACTGTCTTATAGTCAGGACAACTGTCTTAGATAGTCAGGACAACTGTCTTATAGTCAGGACAACTCTCTTAGGTAGTCAGGACACCTGTCTTAGATAGTCAGGACAACTCTCTTAGGTAGTCAGGACACCTGTCTTAGGTAGTCAGGACATCTGTCTTAGGTAGTCAGGACAACTATCTTAGGTACTCAGGACAACTATCTTAGGTAGTCAGGACAACTATCTTAGATAGTCAGGACAACTCACCTGAGGCAGAGGGTTAGCAGGGCGACAGTGCATGGCGCCCACCTCCACCTGTGAGGGCAGGAGAGGCAGTGGTATACCGATGCTAAAGTGTGTGTTCATCAGTGCTAGACTCATGTTCCTCTCTAACTCCAACAACGGTGGCAGCTCCGGGAACTGTGCTGAGATCTGTTAAATAATGCCACGACTGTGAAAATTTCACTTCAACTGTTACACCAAATATAACGATATAGCTAACATTTCCTGGGAATTAGATAAACTGTACAGTGATGTTTAAAGTACAAGGGAAATCGTCATTAGATTAATGGTGTAAAATTAGATGCAATCACTCTGAAATAACTGATATATATTGTTATTAAAAAATACACTAAATCAAGATTGACAGTTTTGTTATTGAAAATTGTGTCAGTATTAAAAATACCTCTTTTTGAAGCTGAGGAACAATGTTCCAATTCCTCCAGTAAACTGCAAATGCTATATGTATCAGTGTGTTCAAAAATCGATGCCAGATGGAGTAAGGTCGTGAGAAATCAAGCGACTGGCTGGGTACATAGGCAGGATTCATGACATTACCCAGGACGGCACTCTGACGGTAGTCAGTGCCTGGTGTGGAAACCATGATGAAGGGAGCCTGGTGCAGGAACGGGTACACTACCTAAGGAGAGAGCAATTCTCAGCGTCACTCTAGTTTGAAACTGTTGATGCAGTTATATATTTGTTACACTTTATTCAGCCTATATCACGCCCATATGGGCATGTCTCTTGACCTTCAGACCAGGTGTTAAGGGTATAACGAGCAGGAGACTCCATCAACCAGCTACAAAGAAACCCACTAAAGTTGTGAAGCAATGTGGTACACTTGTCAATCATCCCTGGTGGACTTACCTTCAAGTCTTGTCGTTACTTACAGAGTCTCTTGCATTTATCTTATTGTACATAACTGTATACACTGTACAAGTGTACATAGTCTCTGTAGATGTTGTTAGGTAAGACATATATGCAACAATTAGGTATCTTTATTACGAAACGTTTCGCCTACACAGTAGGCTTCTTCAGTCGAGTACAGAAAAGTTGATAGAAGCAGAAGATACTTGAAGACGATGTAATCAGTCCATCACCCTTGAAGTTTTGAGGTGGTCAGTCCCTCAGTCTGGAGAAGAGTATTGTTCCATAGTCTGAAACAATATGGAGCTAAAGTGACAGGATGGAGCCTATATACCGCCAGGAGGTGAGATGTAGGCCACTAGTAGAGGTTGCATATGTGTCTTACCTAACAACCTGTCGGTATTTTATACCATTTTAATGTTCAGTCTCTGTAGATATTGCAAATACCTGACTATTTGGTGAAGGAAATAGAATCAGTTACTCCCTCTGTTGCCTTTTAGCGCGTTTGATTCCCAGCGAGGGTAGAAACATTGTACATGTTTCCTTACATCGGTTGTCTTCGTTCCCTATAAATAAAATAGGTACCTGGGTGTTAGTTGACTGGTGTGGGTCGCATCCTGGGTGTTAGTTGACTGGTGTGGGTCGCATCCTGGGACAAGACTGACTTAATTTTTGTGTGAAATGCTCTGCGTAACAAGTAGCTTTCAATATGGTAGTATGTCATTGATGTCAGCTATGGTCTGTATACCTTGTACATGTACTTGTAGAAATAAGTATTATTATTATTATTATTATTATTATTATTATTATTATTATTATTATTATTATTATTATTATGATTATTATTATTATTATTATTATTATTATTATTATTATACAGCCAGGTGTGCAGGCCAGTAGTCTACACTTGTTTTCATTATACACTACCATCAGCTGGACTGACCTGATATATTATACTTCGGATAGAAAGAATTCACTGCTGATAAATTGAATAAATGACATTGTAAGCCTTTTTAATTTAAACAATAATTCATATAGATTCCTAAGTAGTAGGATGGTAGACAGCAACCACCCAGGGAGGTACTACCGTCCTGTGGTAGTAGGTTGGTAGACAGCAACAGCCCAGGGAGGTACTACCATCCTGTGGTAGTAGGTTGGTAGACAGCAACCACCCAGGGAGGTACTACCGTCCTGTGGTAGTAGGTTGGTAGACATCAACCACCCAGGGAGATACTACCGTCCTGTGGTAGTAGGTTGGTAGACAGCAACCACCCAGGGAGGTACTACCGTCCTGTGGTAGTAGGTTGGTAGACAGCAACCGCCCAGGGAGGTACTACCGTCCTGTGGTAGTAGGTTGGTAGACATCAACCACCCAGGGAGGTACTACCGTCCTGTGGTAGTAGGATGGTAGACAGCAACCACCCAGGGAGGTACTACCGTCCTGTGGTAGTAGGTTGGTAGACAGCAACAGCCCAGGGAGGTACTAACATCCTGTGGTAGTAGGTTGGTAGACAGCAACCACCCAGGGAGGTACTACCGTCCTGTGGTAGTAGGTTGGTAGACATCAACCACCCAGGGAGATACTACCGTCCTGTGGTAGTAGGTTGGTAGACAGCAACCACCCAGGGAGGTACTACCGTCCTGTGGTAGTAGGTTGGTAGACAGCAACCGCCCAGGGAGGTACTACCGTCCTGTGGTAGTAGGTTGGTAGACATCAACCACCCAGGGAGGTACTACCGTCCTGTGGTAGTAGGTTGGTAGACAGCAACCACCCAGGGAGGTACTACCGTCCTGTGGTAGTAGGTTGGTAGACATCAACCACCCAGGGAGGTACTACCGTCCTGTGGTAGTAGGTTGGTAGACAGCAACCACCCAGGGAGGTACTACCGTCCTGTGGTAGTAGGTTGGTAGACATCAACCACCCAGGGAGGTACTACCGTCCTGTGGTAGTAGGTTGGTAGACAGCAACCACCCAGGGAGGTACTACCGTCCTGTGGTAGTAGGTTGGTAGACATCAACCACCCAGGGAGGTACTACCGTCCTGTGGTAGTAGGTTGGTAGACAGCAACCACCCAGGGAGGTACTACCGTCCTGTGGTAGTAGGTTGGTAGACAGCAACCACCCAGGGAGGTACTACCGTCCTGTGGTAGTAGGTTGGTAGACAGCAACCACCCAGGGAGGTACCACCGTCCTGTGGTAGTAGGTTGGTAGACAGCAACCACCCAGGGAGGTACTACCGTCCTGTGGTAGTAGGTTGGTAGACAGCAACCACCCAGGGAGGTACTACCGTCCTGTGGTAGTAGGTTGGTAGACAGCAACCACCCAGGGAGGTACTACCATCCTGTGGTAGTAGGTTGGTAGACAGCAACCACCCAGGGAGGTACTACCGTCCTGTGGTAGTAGGTTGGTAGACAGCAACCACCCAGGGAGGTACTACCGTCCTGTGGTAGTAGGTTGGTAGACAGCAACCACCCAGGGAGGTACTACCGTCCTGTGGTAGTAGGTTGGTAGACAGCAACCGCCCAGGGAGGTACTACCGTCCTGTGGTAGTAGGTTGGTAGACAGCAACCACCCAGGGAGGTACTACCGTCCTGTGGTAGTAGGTTGGTAGACAACAACCACCCAGGGAGGTACTACCGTCCTGTGGTAGTAGGTTGGTAGACAGCAACCACCCAGGGAGGTACTACCGTCCTGCCAAGTGAGTGTAAACCGAAAGCCTGTAATTGTTATACATGATGGTAGGATTGCTGGTGTTTTTATTCTGTCTCATAAACATGCAAGATTTCAGGTACGTCTTGCTACTTCTACTTACACTTAGGTCACGCTACACATACATGTAAAAGCATATATATACATACTACTCTGCGTTTTCTTCTATTTCCTTTCTAGTTCTTGTTTATTTCCTGTTATCTCCATGGGGAAGTTGAACAGAATTCTTCTTTCGTAAGCCATGCGTGTTGTAAGAGGCGACTAAAATGCCGGGAGCAAGGGGTTAGTAACCTCTTCTCCTGTATAAATTACTAAATTTAAAAAGAGAAACTGTCGTTTTTCTTTTTGGGCCACCCTGCCTCGGTGGGATACGGCCGGTTTGTTGAAAGAAGAAGTTCGTATAGATCTAAATAATACGAAATATGCAAAATTCTTGTGTATACAATCCACGGAAGACAGAAGTATAGGATAATTCTGCTGATTTAAGGATAAGAGGACTTTTAAGTTTATAAGAGTAGCGTATTACATCTTCCTTTGTCCTGTGACAAAAACACATGAAGCAAGTTAAAGTTGTTCCGAAAATAAAAACACCTGAAAGTAGCAGTGGTTCCTGTGAGAAAAACTAATGGAAGATTAAAATAAAAATTAGATATGTCTGAAAGCTAATGAATTATAGTATAAGAATTGACAGGAAGCTGACGAGACGAATTAACTTAATATAAAATATTTCTTCAATTACTGTAGATGTGGAGCTTACTCCTTAATTAATAATCAAAAAGACGGTGAACATAATGTTTACTGAGCTATAATAACTCAACCTGAAAACCGCCATTTTTTTTTTTGTAGTCACTCTCAGCCTTTGAAAAATCTGATATTGTCGCAACAGCTGAGAAGTGAACATTAAAATGGTATAAAATACCGACAGGTTGTTAGGTGAGACACATATGCAACAGTTAGGTATCTTTATTATGAAACGCTTCGCCTACACAGTAGGCTTCTTCAGTCGAGTACAGAAAAGTTGATAGAAGCAGAAGATACTTGAAAACGATGTAATCAGTCCATCACCCTTGAAGTTTTGAGGTGGTCAGTCCCTCAGTCTGGAGAAGAGTATTGTTCCATAGTCTGAAACAATATGGAGTTGAATTCATTCATTCATGTTGATTCGCCTGTACTTCCGGCCCGGGTTTTCTCTAGATGGTGACCCGGCAGTGGCCCCCCGGGTGGGGGGTGACGATCATCTTCTTCTTTCTTCTTTCTTGGCCGTCCAGTTGGAGGATGTCGTCGTCTTCTATCTTGCGCTGACTTCCCCGAAGAGAAGCGCAGTCGGGCAGAGGCAGCAGTTACAGGGTAGATTGGAGCCACACCCCAGCTTTAGTGGACAGCAAAGTGCTGGGGAAACTTGTCTTCATGGTGAATGGTCATGGATAGTCGTGCTAGAGGAGGGTACCGTCTTCAAGGTCCCCATTCTGAAGCATCCTGAATTTCCTCTTTGAGGTGTACTCGACTTCCACAAGGTGTTGGGTGTTGGCAGTGAGTAGTCTGGTCATGTCTGCAGTGTTGTATGTAACAGTTTGGTCGTAGGTATACTTGACTGTTCCATCCAGGAGGTGCTGATGGGTTTCTGAAGACAGCATTCTGTTCTTATACTGCTTGGTTGTGTAGAAGTATACACCCTTCAGGCATCGGACTTGTTGTGGTGCAGCAGTGTCAGTGGCAGTGGCACCGTGAGGTGTATCCGCAGTTTCTTGTGTTTTTGCTTTCTTGGCTGGTGGCTGAACTGGTGAAGGCGAGATTCCGACTGGTAGTTGCCTAGCAGTGGATGCAAGCGGTAGTGGACTCTCATTGGTGGGGTTTGCCGACGTCTCAGTGGTCTCTGATTGGTCCATCTCTGTGTCTAGTGGAGGTTGTGACAGCGGTTGAGCAGCGGTGATGCTGGTAATATTTGCAGTAGATTTTAGGATCTCAGTGGAAGGTGGTGATGCAGGGAATGTGAGGCCAGGCATATTATTTAGTTTGAAAAGTTCATTGATGGTGGTGTTGAAGGAACCAGGCTCAGCTGCATTCTGTACATGAGCATACATAATGCAATAAAGAGTCTTGGTGGAGTCGGCAGTAGGTGCTGGCAGGGAAGTGGTGGGAGCAGCTTGCGTGGCATGTAGTATCGTGGAAGTGTCTGCTTCAAGCTTGGCGATAGCAGAATATGTGGCTGTTTGTGGGCTGGGTTTCTTTTGTTGTTGTTGTTGTTGTTGTTGTTTCTTGAGTATGTCTCTTCTGGTAGGGCACCTGGCAGCAAGAGTATGGTGGTCATTCTTGCAGTTCAAGCATTTAGGTGGTGAAGCAGTAGTGCAATTCTTGAAGTCATGACCCTGACGGACACAGGTGGAGCAAAACTTCTTGTCCTTGGTAGGACAATCATTTGTGGTGAATAAGTATGAGTAACAATTATAGCACTGTGAGATATGTTGGAATTTCTCTGCTTCGATGAAGGCTGGGTTGATGTGGAAGTAGTGAATAGCCAGGCCCTCAGCGAGAGCTCTGGATGCCATGTTGACGTCACTGAAGGTGACCTTCAGCATGGATGAAGCATTGGGTATTTTAGTAATGAAGTCCACCTTGACCCAAGGGTTCTTTGCTTCGATAGATGACTTGATTTCTTCAGTGGCCTGTACAGTGATAAGGTTGTCGAGTCGCTTGAGAACACAGTTCTCCTGGCCCTCAGTGCTGGGGAAGTCAAGACAAGAAATTCCTGGTCTCGTAGAGTGGTAGTATCAGTAGTAGTAAGTAGTTTCTCAGCCTCTGTGTCGTCTGTACAAACGACAACAAAGGCCTCCTTGAGCGATAAAATCGCATTACATTTGACTTGCAGCCTGCCACTAACGACAGCTGCAAGTGCTAGTTTGGACGACTCATTGGTTGTGCCACTCGCTGGTTTGATCTTTACTCTGTTAGAGTAATGCATCGTGGAGTTGAAGTGACAGGATGGAGCCTTATATACCACCAGGAGGTGAGATGTAGGCCACTAGTAGAGGAAAGAATGTAATCGTTGGGAGGTCAGGTTCCTCTCCCTAGTGAGAATGGCGGGATTTGAGAGGGACCTGACCTTCCAACGACAACATTCTTACCTCTACTAGTGGCCTACATCTCAGCTCCTGGTGGTATATAAGGCTCCATCCTGTCACTTCAACTCCATATTGTTTCAGACTATGGAACAATACTCTTCTCCAGACTGAGGGACTGACCACCTCAAAACTTCAAGGGTGATGGACTGATTACATCGTCTTAAAGTATCTTCTGCTTCTATCAACTTTTCTGTACTCGACTGAAGAAGCCTACTGTGTAGGTGAAACGTTTCGAAATAAAGATACCTAACTGTTGCATATGTGTCTTATCTAACAGCTCAGAAGTGAGTGAAATTCCTACGATAAAGTTAGCGGAAATTTTCTTTCACAGTTTGAAAAAGTCTGACAACAGTGGTTACCTACATTAGAATTTCCATCACTGGTGTGCGCGCTCGTGTGGGTTTATGACCCACTTAATATTTGTATTGATAACTCATTATAACTGTGACCAGGTGTGGACTTGTCAGTGGCTCATTACTTTGTAATTTGTTCATGATTGTAACCATGTATGGGAGTGTAGATGGATTATTACCTTCGTAACTTGCCGTGATTGTAACCAGATCTATCTGAAGTTCTTTATCTTTGAAACTACTTCTGCTATCATAACTTTGGGGTCCAGTCCCTGGACACATGATGTACCTCTGTAATCTTTTGACTACCGCCCACAGGATGGGTATGGGGTGACTACCGCCCGCAGAATGAGTATGGGGTGACTACTGCCCAAAGGATGGGTATGGGATGACTACTGCCCACAGGATGGGTATGGGGTGCATAATAAAGATACTAGGCTAACACTGATGTAAATCATGCCAAATATAAATGAAAATCTTCTTTAAATATGTTTTAGAAGAACTATTGAATGAGCTGGATTCATTTTGTTAAATGTAAAACTAACGGCTTAATAAAGCTCCTGGAGAGCGAAACGTTGTCACAATAAAATGTCACATTAGTTGCACTTGTGTCCTTTTATTTTACATATTGTCAGTAATTCTACCAACATATTACAAATGTAACACTAATAATTATTGAACCATTCTTACCTCATTAAACGCATGGTCTACTATAAAGAGATCAAACTCTTTCCTTCTCTCGTAAAGTTCCTTCACCAGAGGAACTTTGTAAAAGTCTCTGGCAATTACAGGAAGAACTTTCTCAAACATCGTAAATCCGGTAGTCCAGTCGTCTTTATACTCAAACATATTTATATTTTGGAAATGTTGAAGACCATGGCTAATATCACTGATGTTGGGATGATTGGTCGATTTTGGGCTGTTAGACAACATTGTTACCTGGAAAAAAGATATGGATTCAGGATTCTGGTAAACTTGAATGACCATGATCAAACCTCCGTTGATAATTACTTGAATTATTTAAAGCTAACTCAATTTCCACCACGTCGAAGGGTTCTGTTTTTACAAATTCTCCAAATGGGATCCATTTTTAGCTGTTGACTGTCTCAAAATCACCTGTTGCAAAATGTAATTTTTCTTGGAGAAATACTGACTGCATTATATATTTCATCATCACAAAAAATCAGAGCAATGTTATACCTGGTGACCTCGGTCGGCCAAAGCCTCGGCAAGTGGGATGAAGACGTTTTTATGGCTCTGGGAGGAGACTGGGAGAAGCACCAGTATCTTGTAGTGTTTCTCAGGAGGGTCTAAGTCCCCCGTGACTACCGCCGCCAGGGCCGCCACCATCACATATATCCCAGCTAGAAACATCTGTATATACACGTAAGTGCAAAAGTCAGAGTTTGTTATTCAATTATTCATCTGAATCTGGGCAAACAAATAATTTATTACCGAAAAGAAATAAGAACATAAGAACATTAAAACGAAGGAACACTGCAGCAGGCCTACTGGCCCATGCGAGGCAGGTCCAAGTCTCCTACCGGCTTAAGCCAATGCACCCAACCTAGTCAGGTCAGGTCACATTGACTTAAGGGAGGAACACGGCAACCGTCCTGGTAGCACAAGCTATCAGGTCCAACTCACACCCACCCACATCCACTCATGTATTTATCCAACCTATTTTTAAAGCTACACAACGTTCTGGCCTCTGTAACTGTACTTGGGAGTTTGTTCCACTCATCCACAACTCTATTACCAAACCAGTACTTTCCTATATCCTTCCTGAATCTGAATTTTTCTAACTTAAAACCATTGCTGCGAGCCCTGTCTAGGCTAGATATTTTCAGCACACTATTTACATCCCCTTTATTTATTCCTGTCTTCTGTTTATACACCTCAATCATATCCCCCCTAATTCTACGTCTTTCTAAAGAGTGCAGATTCAGGGCCCTTAGTCTATCCTCATAGGGAAAGTTTCTGTTACATGGGATCAACTTTGTCACCCTCCTTTGTACATTTTCCAGAGCATTTATATCCATTCTGTAATACGGTGACCAAAACTGTGCAGCATAATCTAAATGAGGCCTAACCAAGGATGTATAGAGTTGAAGAACAACCTGAGGACTCCTATTATTTATGCTTCTTGATATGAAGCCAAGGATTCTATTAGCTTTATTGCGAACACTTATGCACTGTTGTCTTGATTTCTGATTACTGCTAACCAGAACTCCTAAATCTTTTTCGCAATCCGTAATATTAAGATCTACATTATTTAGTTTATATGTGGCATGGTTATTGTCCTGTCCAACATTTAGAACTTTGCATTTGTCTATATTAAACTGCATCTGCCACTTCTCCGACCACTGCATCAGTCTATTCAAATCTTTCTGGAGTGCTCTAATGTCCTCGTCAGAATGAATTCGACGGCCTATTTTGGTGTCATCGGCAAACTTGGTGATGTCGCTCTTTATGCCCTCATCTATGTCATTTATGTAGATTGTGAACAGCAGGGGGCCCAACACTGACCCCTGTTGAGCACCGCTCGTGACGCTTCCCCACTCTGATTTCTCCCTATTTATGCAAACTCTCTGCTGCCTATTTGTCAACCATGCCTCTATCCAGGAAAAAATTTCTCCTCCTATTCCATGTGCCTTAATTTTCCTCAATAGTCTCTGATGTGGGACCCTGTCAAAAGCCTTACTGAAGTCCATATACACAATATCATATTCATTACCATGATCTACCTCCTCAAATACCTTAGTGAAAAAAGTTAATAAATTCGTAAGGCAGGAACGCCCCTTTGTAAAACCATGCTTAGATTCGTTGATTAATTTATGCTTTTCAAGGTGGCTACGAACTTCCTCGGCAATTATTGATTCCATAAATTTTCCCACTGTGGAGGTTAGGCTTATTGGTGTATAGTTCGAAGCTAAGGACCTGTCACCTGCTTTGGAAATAGGTATCACATTTGCCATTTTCCACTTATCTGGCACCATACCAGTTTGTAGTGATATGTTGAAAATATTAGCCAAAGGTTTGCTAAGCTCCTCTTTACATTCCTTTAGAACCCTTGCATACAGTTCATCAGGGCCTGGGGATTTGTTAGGTTTTAATTTATCTATTTGCCTAAGGACCATGTCACTTGTGACCCTAATCGTGCACAGTTTATTATCGTCCTGTTCTACATAATTTATCCTTTCTGGAATATCGCTGGTATCCTGCTGTGTAAAAACTGAGAGGAAGTATGTGTTAAAAATTCTACACATTTCCTTATCACTGTCAGTGAGCTGACCCGAGGAACTTTTGAGTGGGCTTATCTTGTCCCTGATCTTACTTCTGTATACCTGAAAGAATCCTCTTGGGTTAGTCATCGATTCTCTTGCAACTTTAACCTCATAATCTCTTTTTGCTTTTCTAATTCCCTTTTTTTATTTCTCTCTGTAACTGAATATATCGATTTCTTAATTGCCCCTCTCCTCTTTTGATTTGCCTATATATGCCTCTCTTTTGACCAATCAGATATTTTAATCTATTGTTCATCCATTTAGGATCATTTTTGTTTGATCTGATTTCCCTATTTGGAACATAATTTGACTGAGCAGCTAGAACTATGCCCTGGAAAGCGTCATATCGGCAACCATCGCCACCTACCTGACCCTTAGTCAGGTCATTCCAGTTCAGCCCACCTAAGTAATTTTACAGTCCTATGAAAGCGAAAGTCAGGGACGGAGACTTGATTGCCATTATTAGGGGAATTCCATGATATATTAAAACTGTGTGATTTGTGATCACTTTCCCCAAGCTCATCATTAATTTTAAGATTATTAATTAGTGTTTCCCTACTGGCAAGAACCAAGTCAAGGAGGTTATTTTCCCTAGATGGCTCTGTCACAAACTGTTTTAAAAAACAATCCTGGATCGTATCAAGAAAGTCACCTGACTCTAAATTTCCTGTCAAATTGCTCCAGTCAATCTGTCTGTAGTTGAAATGTCCCATTAGCACAACATTTTCATATGTAAATGTCTTACGAATTTCGTCCCATAGAAGTTTATTGCACTCCCTATCAAGATTTGGGGCCCTGTAAATCACACCCAAAATTAGTTTTTCTCGGCCCTCGAGAAGCTGTAACCAAACAGATTCAGTGGCTGACGCTTCTAATTTTATATCTTGTCTAACACAACAATTTAAATTGTCTCTGACATACATCGCTACTCCACCACCCTTCCTGTTGACCCTGTCAGTGTGGAATAATTTATAGCCTTGTATGTGACATTCAGAGGGCATCTCTCTATCTTTCAGATTGAGCCAGGTCTCTGTTATAGCAATAATATCTATGTTTCCTGCACTTGCAATTAATCTTAGCTCATCTATCTTATTTCTTACACTCCTGCTATTAGTATAGTAAACCTTAAGGGAGCTAGTCTCTTGCTGCCCTCTGCTGTCCCCCTTTGTTTGCTGACCTGATCTATTGTCTTTATTTATAACTTCATGCTGAATGCCTTTTATACATTTACTGTTTCCAGCCCTTGTGTTGCAACCTGCTTGTTCCCCACACACACCCATACCTCTATCTTCTATCAGTTTAAAATCATAGGCATTTCACCAATGGCCTTCTCAATTGAGTTTGCAAGCGCTACCACCCCAGCCCCAGAGAGATGTACCCCATCCCTTGCATACATATCATGTTTGCCATAAAAGTTGTTCCAGTTGTCAATGAATGGGATTGCAAGTTCCTTGCAGTATCTGTCTGGCCAGCAATTTACACCAATTGCCCTAGACAACCATTCATTTCCTACTCCCCTTCTAGGCAAGATGCTACATATGATTGGGATCCCTCCCTTAGACTTAATGAAATCTATAGCTGACCTGTACTTATCAAACAGCTCTTCTCTCCTACCCTTCCCAATGTCATTTCCACCAGCACTGAGACAGATAATGGGCTTGTTCCCATTACCTGACATGATATTATCCAGCCTGTTGACTATGTCCCCAACACCAGCTCCAGGGAAGCACACTCTATCTCTCATCTTCTTATTCCTATTACAAAAAGCACGGTCAATATATCTTACCTGAGAGTCACCTACCACAAGAATACGCTGACCTCTGTTAGCAGGGGCAGTAGTACCCTTACCTTCACTGGCCACTGAAGTACATTCATCCTGAAGAACAGAGAAACGATTTCCTACCTTCAGATCTTCACTCGTAACTTTCCTTATTCTGATTCTCCTACCATTACTGGGAACCACTCGCCACTTGTAGCAGGTGCTGGACTGCACCTCACTGCTGGTAGCCGTTGCTACCTCCCCACCTACAGCCTCCTCACAGCGAGAGGCAGACTGCACCTCACTGCTAGAAGCATCATTCCCCACAACTCCAGCCACCTCACACTCTCTCCCAGACCCACTGAGGTGGACCTTCAGCCTCCTAATCTCCTCCTGGAGAAGCAAGACCTCCTCCTTCAACTCTCCAACCTCAATTTTTAAAACACTGCAGAAGCAAGCCATGCTTTGTAACCGTCCACACTAATCCCCAAAGCAGCTCAGGGTCTGTGTGGTCAATTTCTAAGTTAGTTTGTGTCTCAATAACCTTATGTCTGGACTCATATAGTGACATGAAGGAGAGAGAGAGAAAAAAAAAGACGTGCAAAAAAGATGTATTTCAAAAGAAAACTGAATAATTTTGTTGTATATATCACATGATAAACTCATATACTATTTCTTCCTCTCGTTCTACAGCTCATGGCCCCTTATTTCCTTTCGTATATGTAATGGCTCCCTTCACTTCAGTCTTCTGTGACTAGTTAATGGTTAAAGACAGGCCGAAGCATCGTTATAAGTGTCATTCTCCGATGTGCGGGTGATTTTTCTAATGAAAGGGTACATGAGTGGGTGTGGGTGGGTGATGCACCTATCATGGACCAGTAGCCTACTGCAGTACATGAGTGGGTGTGGGTGGGTGATGCACCTATCATGGACCAGTAGCCTACTGCAGTACATGTGTGGGTGTGGGTGGGTGATGCACCTATCATGGACCAGTAGCCTACTGCAGTACATGAGTGGGTGTGGGTGGGTGATGCACCTATCATGGACCAGTAGCCTACTGCAGTACATGAGTGGTGTGGGTGGGGTGATGCACCTATCATGGACCAGTAGCCTACTGCAGTACATGAGTGGGTGTGGGTGGGTGATGCACCTATCATGGACCAGTAGCCTACTGCAGTACATGAGTGGGTGGGGTGGGTGATGCACCTATCATGGACCAGTAGCCTACTGCAGTACATGAGTGGGTGTGGGTGGGTGATGCACCTATCATGGACCAGTAGCCTAATGCAGTACATGAGTGGGTGTGGGTGGGTGATGCACCTATCATGGACCAGTAGCCTACTGCAGTACATGAGTGGGTGTGGGTGG